GAGACGTTCGCGGCAAGTGGACGGAAAGACGTTCCTCTCTTCGATCGCATTCCCGGACTGCGCCATGTACACGTAACACGTCAGAACGGTATTCGAATGGTTCCAAGAATGAGTTTCAATTTCTTTTCTGCTGAATAACTCGTCCAGAAGTAAGAATTAGAGCAAGATTGACGTGAGAAGCATCCATTGTCCATTACGTCTTTTTTTTGTGTCGTCCTCATCACTTTGTCGGCCATCCATTGCAAGTGGGGTACTCCCTTTGGACGCTTGCACTTTCCGAGAAGTAGACATGCCGTTCCGAGATTTCGAAGCGATTAGCGGCTTAACGATCCACTTGAAGCAAGGAATGGAGGCCGGGTGAAATCCTCCTATTTCTCCGTCAAATACTTTCATCGCTGATTTTTTTGCTCTTACCTTTCGCTTTTTCTTCTCGTGCCTGACGATGGCTCTTCGTCAAAAAGTGAAGAACGAGCTCTCTAGTGGGAGGCAGTGAATAATTCCCGGAAAATAGACTGAAAGACATTGCCAAACTTGGAAATTCCTTCTTTTTCGAGCACTTGGAAGTCCTCAGAAAAACAATTAGGTACTTGCAGGCTTTCTAGAGACAGTTTCGAAGGTCCTAAAGTATTTTTTATTTTTCGATGGCTTCCAGTTGCTCTCTCGTTTTGATTTGAGCATGATATTTTGGTCATACAAAATTTCGATCTTCTGAAGGTGTCAGAAAGAGCCATCTCCTTCATGGGCCTCTTGTTTCGACACCTGATGGGGTAAAGTCTATTTTCCGATTTCGGGAAGCTTTCAGACCTTGAATGGGTACGCTTACGTCAGAAGGTTAGGCCATTGAATAGATTGCTTCGCCTAAAAACACCGAAAGACGTAATATTGTTGAAAAAGAAGGTTTCGACTATCCTCCTAGTCAGCTATGGCGTTAGTCCATCTATTTCATTGAATTATAAGCTTGCAGTAACCAGTAACTGCCAACGTTTTTCTTCGTGCTCTGGGTTAAGGAATAGTAACTGGTAATCTGACGCGACTCGATCTGGTCTCCTTATAACTCCAGAGCTACTGTGCCGCTGATAATGCTCCTTTCCCTGAAAAGGACAAGTCCTCTGAAAAATTGAGAGCGTTTACAGCCTCTGATTACCCCTTTTCTTCGTTAGCTGCTCAAGGAGGATGGATGGGTCAGGATTGAGTAGGAGCGTCTTTTGGAGGCATAGGAAAGACGATACCGTGTAAGGGAAACTAGAGGGGGAAGAGGAACGATGGGAGGGAAAAGGGAGGGAGAGGAAGGGAGGAAGAAAGTGGGAAGTCAAGCAAAATCCGAAACACAAAAATTAGACATTATTACTACAATTATTTATCGTAGCGAATTCCTCCCGATTGGGTGATTCCTATATTGACATACTTCTTACGATTCTCCCACTTCGTTGCTCCACGGTTCCTCTGCCCAGACCTAGCTAAGACTTATGAGCAGCAGCGAAGGTAATGGATTTGGTCCGCAGGCAGCTCGAACAAAGCATTTGAAAGGCTCATACTTTTGAAGTGAAGGCCGAATTCGTTTTTCATAGGTTTTTCGAGCTCCCAAACTAAAACTTTTCCCACATCACGGTCTGGGCAAGAAAGAGGACCAGGGAAAAGCTAGGTGTCATACCACTTCGAATCGGTGAAATCTACACATTCTAACCCCAACCCATAATCCATCCATCATCAAAGAAATGTAAGGCTTAGCCTAGCCCATGACAGTAAATCATCCCACGACGTAGGGCCTCTTCGTAGAAGCTGCTCAGCTCCTCCCACTTCATTATATGCCATTGCATCTGCTTCATCACTACGGTACCAAAAATTTGGGTTACTTCATCACGACGAATTTCATTTTGAATTTTTTTCTTGAACAATTCATTTTTCGCGCAATTTGGTAGAAAGCTCCTCATCAGCGTATTCAGTTATAAAATTCGTTTTCGTCAGAATTTTCGCTGAATCGCATATGCGAAGATTTCTGCTCAGCTGAGCCGAAAATTAGGTTAGCCGTGTGTCCTTTTGCTGTCGCCAGGGTTTGGTCTAACACATTGGTGTGGTTCTCAGCGACACGACAATGTACTCGTGCAATGCCTGACTGAACGCTTACTTGCTTATCCATGCTTCATGCTTTTAATGGGGGGTGATATCGTTAAACTTAAGCCGACCAGTGAGGGCAAACACAGAAATTATTCCGTCGATATGGCACGTGCATATGGCACACTTGCCTCCTGGGCAGACTTGATGATGTTAGCATGGGCTTTTCCAGCTACTCTGCTACCGCAGCGAACCGCTCGTTTTTTTTTGTTTTTCCATCGAAACTCCTTTACTGGTATTGTATGCTACTTCAGCTCCATTCCTTCTATTCTTCCTCTGAAATTATCGGCCTATGTAGTTCATGTCTTTCCCTAGAATGGGAGTCAGAGTGGTGGATAAAAAGGTCCAAAGAAGGAATTTTTCGTTCTTGGTTCGACTTTTGATCCGGGAGTTCTGCTGTTCCTTCTGAATTTCTTACACCTCGTTGTTTTGAGTGTTTGGTGCATACCGTCCTGTCTGAAGGTTATTTTAAATATATGAACAAATAAATGAGTGAATGAACAACCAAAACAAACAACCACCGTAGAAAAAACAAGCGATGAACAGATGAATTCAAAATTGAATTTTCATGTATTTGAGCAGCTTAGGGTCTCTTCTCCCCGAATTGTTGTTCACGTGGTAAAAATCGCTCGGTGATGTCTGTATGACTGAGCTTAGGGAATATGTATATGGCAATGGGCAGCAACGATTTTGAGTGAGTGTCGAGTTCGTGGCCTATACCATACTGGCTCCCTGAATTGTCCTTTGTAGGCTGCATAACATGGATCGTTACTCTTTTTGATAAACAGCTTATGCCACCGGATCCTTCGATTGTTTAGAGTTGTTCGTGCTGGATATTTACCTACACTGGTCAGTTTTTGTAAAAAAATAAATTGTTGACGTATTTAGGTTTGTTCGTAATGTGACTGCGAAAGGCGAACCTTGAGAATAAACGGAGCCGTGTAAGCATTTTAATGGTCTCAGCCGGAATGTGAAATTCAATCCTCGACGGCGCCTTACAGCTCCCTTGGACCCTTTTATGCCATTAGTTCTCTTTCCGACAACCTTCCCGAGGTGATATTTCCAAGAGTTTTTTAGCCGTCAACCTTCCATTCCATTAGGGATGGCTTCACCTTTCATCGAATAGCTTCAATAAGTGCTAATGCAAGCTGATGAACACATCTTCCCTTTTTCCATGATTTTCCTAATGGTTATTGAGCAAATTAGTGCTTGAGATCTTCATAAATCCTTTTCACAGCTCGTGGGAATGAATGCGACAGAACTAGCACCCGATTATCTGAGTATAGTGCTTTTTGCCGATGTCCAGGCACTGGAATAGGCTGTAACTAGCTCTTAAACAATGACTGGTTTTACTAGAAATGGCTTGAGCAGGTTGTACGGCGACTAATTCCCTCTTTCTTGAAGCCGATAAACACATTTATCTACGCATATGAACCGAACAGCTATCAGTTGAATTCAAGCTTTGTACGAGTTGATTCTGGTCACACCTCCTGAATGACGTGTTGTCCTGACACCCCGCGCGCTGCGTTACCTAAGCTGAATACCTAGTGGTGATCGTTATCACTGTCGTTACTAGCTCGCTCTCTTTATTGGAGTCGCACTCATGGTTTTCGATGGGAAGGTTTTTGATTTTATGTGGTACAAGTATCGTATAGGTTAGAATGCAGTTTGGCAGCACCCTAGCAGAAATATGGTAAACTCGTCTCATTCCCAAAATCAGCGGTAAGCTCGTCCTGTTCTCAAAACAGATGGGTCGATATGAGACTTGCTCTGATTGTAACCCAATTGCTTTCCCTGACTCTCTTCTCTGACGTTTTTTGAGTTACCTACTTCCTAACTTTCGAAAGTTTCCCATACACTTACACCCAGTTTGTCGTTCTACTTATTATGGGATCCTGGCATATCCTCCCTTCCATTTGAAAGACCACTTCATCACTCTGCCTGTGAAAGCTTTGAAAGATTATACCCTTTAGTGAACTTGTTTAAGACTTGAATGAATAAGAAAGTTCTGAATTATGGGTTCAAGTGAAATCAGTCAAATACCACCCTTCTCTTTAAAAGGTTTTCTTTGATCATTCGATAAGAGAATCTGAATTCAGCAAGTTGAAGGAGCTATGTAGTGCAGCCCAAACTTGCCATTGGTGCGTTCAAAACTGTTTCCAGTAAGGAAGGATTAATGGAAAAAGGTGGACAGTGGGAAGACTCGGCGGTGCTCTATATTTCTATACACATATTCAGTGTAAGCTTGGCTATTCGCTGCCTCTGGCTATTTCGGGAAGCTATAATTAGCCTTTCATCAATCTCTTAATCTGCGCCACAGATCCTCACCTCCTCTCCGAGATGACGTCCCCTTCCTTCTTCGTCCGTTTGAATCTTCTCACTGATTTTCTATCCTTTTTACTACCATTCTGATGGTACCTTGCCTCTCTGTGTTCCTCTCCAGTATATTCTTATAATCTGTGGGACACATTGAGATGACTGCATGAGTCATTAGTCATTTGAGGTATAACCCTATCCTCTTGTGATCATCGCTGATGACGTTCGTGGACTCTATTTGAGTTCCAGCTCAATGGTTGTGATCTGGGGGTATTTCTTAAGTGTAATCCGTGTTGCCCTAGTGAATCATCCGGGTTAACTGAAGTGCACCAAAGATTAATCCGTCCTTCCGGCATGTCGACTCGTACGTTCTCATGGAAACTTATGGCCATCCTTCGAATGTGTATTCGATTCCAAGAGTAGCGTCCCTGAAGCTGAAATGCAGCTGGACGGTCAATAAGGAGCTTTTCCATCCAGCAAACTGTGTTTCTGGTTTATCTCTGTGTTTAAGACAAGAAAAGGGGATATTGTTTGGATGAGGGTGCTGAGGCTTTCTCTGAGTGAAGAAGGCAGTGATTCTCTTCAAGGAGATCAGTCGGGGGTTCTTCTGAGGATGATTTTAGCAAAGATACCTCTGTGAAGAGTTCATC